TTAGAGATCTAATGTTCGTTTCTGTGGGACAAAATGCCCACATTTTGTCAGAGGAAACAAAGAAGTATCAATTTAACCTTACCTATGCAAGCTGCAAGCACCTTCCTTTGCAGGGAGGAAATATTTCTGTTTGAAGCACTTCCTTTGTATCTCCGCTGCTGCAGTTTAAAGGATGGTATTTATTTAAATCTGGAAAGTACCTTTAAGTACCTGTCCTTTATAGGTAGGTTTTTCAGAATTTTTCCTTTCATGTACACAGTCAGCAATGAGCCAAGCATTAAAAGTTCAAAAGCATTAAAAGTTCAAACCTAAAGATGTGATCTGTGTAACAAAGACTTTGAAATTAGATCCAGGTGTAACTCCATTAGAAGAATAAGGAGAGGGAGGTGGTGTGGAAGAGTGACTGTAACAGCCAAAAGGCTCAAGAAGCTCTGGTGCAGGAAGAGCTTGTGGGGTTTGTGCAGCCCCTTCCACCTTCTGGGCGTGGAGGAGTGGATCCTGCCGGGCTCTTCAGGGCCGCCCACTTCCCAGAATGGAGAAGAGAAGTGTTTGAGGGGTGAAAACCGGTTTCAGTGCTGCTTAGCTTCAGCTCCAAAAGACTTCACAAAAGCAACAGGCTATTCTTGACAATGCTGCCCGTGCTGGGTTAGTATCCGTATCCTCATTCCAGGGTTAAGTGACCGACTGAATACATTGCGTACGTCCAGTTAGATGATGGATTTTGTGGAAGCAGTTTACAGCTGAGGTGATACTCTAGGATTACCAATCAGTTGGGGAAAATTCAGTGTTTTTCTGTCCAAAGAAAATAATATTTTGTACAAATCATCCACAAGTCTGCAGAAAGCAGCTTTCCCACTCCATGAATAAGGTCTAGTCACAGATCAAGTTCTGCTTCACCGAGCTTAAGACTAGATTTTTTTTTTTATTTGTTTTGCTTTTGTTTTTCTGTCGGAAATGTCTGTGGTTGTGAAGCAGGGCTTTTTGTCAGCTATAAATAAATTCCTCTGTGAGAACAGAGAAGATACCATGTAAAAGGTTCTGCAGTAAGATCCTTGTTTTGTTACTTTTGCCCTATTTTTGAACATTCACAGTGAGAATACACTGCAGTGATGTACTGTGAATTTTACTGTTCAATTTCTTTTTTTATATATATATATATGCTTTTTTTCTAAAATGGTGTCATGTATACTGGCCTCTTATTTAAACTAAACAATTACATTTAAGTGAGGGAAACATACTATGACATATTAGTAGTTAGTCTGTAATACTGCAGTTAAGTTGGTGTGCACTTTATGTCTTGTTCCTCTTAGGCTTAGTTGAACTTTGAAAAGTATTGGTTGTATATATATTTTTTTCTTTTCATTTGAATGCTTATATGTATTTAAAAGTTATTCTAGTAGAACCTTTGAATTCACAAACAAGAAAACCATGAGTTATGATCACAGAATCTTAAACTCTACAGACTGTAACCAACTGAATAATAATAAACTCCTCTGGTAACTGTAATTGCTCACACTGTTTTTGGCCTCTGGATATGCTCTCCTCTCAGAAATTTTTCTGCATGTATTGTTATTCAGTTGGTTATAGTCTGCAGCGTCTAAGATTCTGTGATGATAATTCATGGCATGAGAAGAGATAGTGCTCAGTTTTTTTTCTAAATGTTTCTAAACTGCGATGAGAGATATTTACATTGATTATAATCTAGCACACTTTGTTTTGGAACTATTTAGTAATATAGATGACAAAGAAATGGAATATTATAAATGATAGAAAAGCAAAACAGAAGTATGTTTTTGATCCAGGTTGTAAGTACCTTCATTGGATATTGAGTATTCATTGAATGTGGCACAAGTGTGTCATTTGTGCAATTCATTCTACGTTGTCCATGATGATTTCACATATGTTCTTTCACCTAAATATTGTACCCATGGCTTCTGTTCTTTGGCTGTCATAACATAAGCAAAGATGAGTGTTTCACAGGATTTTTTTTTTTTTACATAGACAAGACAAAAAGAAAACAATGTATCTCAAATTGGAAAACTTGGGTTGAATAAAAATCATTTTGCCGAATTCTTACCCTGCATGTCTTTAGTGCTAAATACTGCCTACATTTTTGTCTTTCCCAGTGCAATTCATTGTGTGGCCTCCAGAGGTCTCCTTTCCCGTGCTTATTTTTTTTCTTTAAAAAGAAGAAGTGGATCTGTATTTAGATCATGTTAAAAGTAAAAAATATCTTTAGAATTTGTTTTATATGAAAATTGAATTTATCATTATAAAGAAATTGTAATCTTTTACTATGCTTTGCTCTGCCATGTATTGGTAGAGCAAAACATAGTAAATGGAGAATCTACCATTCTCCATTCTTTTCAAATTAAATATATTTGTGTGTAACAACGTTTTGGTCTTTTTCGTGTACCTTTTGTGAAAACGTGAAAATAATTAAAAAATAAATGGCAGTAGAAGTGAAACTGTTACTGAAAAGACAGATTCTATTGACTCTAAGCAGGGAATTTGAAGCTGCAAAATGAATTACCCCGGGCTTTGTTTTTCTGCACATTTATATGGTTGTCTTAGCATAGTGATAATTTTGGTGGAAGGAATAGCAAGTATCTTTTTTTCTTCTCTTCTGCACCTGAAATTTTGTGTGTGTAATATGAGAATTCTGTGAGGAAACTAGCCTTGCTTTTTGGTTGAAAGGTAAAATACCCATCAGCATTTACAGACAAAAGCAAGAAAATTTTTGAAGGCTGCAGGTAGTGAAATAGGACAAAGTGGGGTCTTGAGTAAAGAAGCAAAATATGATTCATGCAGGTTGTACAAGGACATATGTTAGATTAGCTGCTTCTGACAGAAAGAAAGATATGATTCCAGAATAATATATATATAATCCCAGAGTTACCAATGACATGAAAATGAGTATCTGTAAAAGCAACATAAATTGATAATTCTGCAACATGTAGTGGACTTATGTGTAACAAAGATGCTAACTTATGTATAACAAAGATGCTACTGAAACCTAGAAAACTAGTCAAAGGCTGCAGAATGTGTATTGTGCAAATGAAATATCACAGTTTTATTTACTACCTGACATTTGAAAAGGGGGTGAGGAGTGGGCTGAATGGGTTATCAAGTCTCTTGTATTTGTGGCTCTTTCTGGGCATAAACTGAATGATGTTGGAATTCTCCTAAACTCAGACCTAGGAAGCACAGCTAAAAACAGCAGCAAGAAACAACAGTACCAGTAATATGATTACTGAAAATGTCACAGCATAACTTTCAGCAGACCTCCAAAGATGCTTCAAGACTATTTCTTTTTCAATAATATTGGTTTGCAAAACTTGATATTTCACCTTCAAAACTGGGACAGGTTTTGTTGGTGGTAGTTTGTTTTTAAAGAAAAAAGAACAAAAAAAGAACTTGCAGATTAAAACTGATAATTTAGCAGATACCTGCCTATGGTTTTTCATTCGGTACATATCATTTCCCATGTGACAGTGCTGCTTAGATTCAAATCCCTTTCTGAGCCTGTTTGTGCATTTGGTCTCCAACATCTAGAAGCATGGGCTAAAAAGATCATCAGTCCATTTTTGCAATTGTGCAGTGTCCTTGGATAAAAATCGATTTAATTAAAATTCTTGTATGAATGAATGAAGAAGAATTTTGGAATTTTTAGTTTATGCAAGTCCTGCAGTGGCCTGGTGATCAGTGTTGTCCAATAGTCACTTAGATTACAGCAAAAATAGATAAGAAAAAAATGCTGAGATAGTGCCCATGTCTTGTAAACTATTGATTTATAAACTACACACTGGGTTTATCTTAGCTGATGTGACTTGTACTATTGTAATGCCTTCAGGAGAAGAGACGTACTGTTTTGGGCATTGTGCAAATATACTGTGTGAAGTCAAGACAGTTCCTGCTCCAGTGCACATCTCAAAGGGTGATGAGATAATACATAAAAGCTTCTGAAAAAGGTTTGGCACAGTTATTGTAAGAATAAAACAGAAATTAACTGTAAATCTTCAATAGTTACCAAGATACTTTTGCAAAAACTATATGTTTATAAAAGCCCCACACTGTGCCTTTTAAAAGCATGACAAAATACACTTAATGTATTTTCATTCAGCTTAACCAAATCTGAAGTAAAATCACACTAAAATTAAGGTTATAATTAGCAGAGGTGAAGTTTTAAGTCTACTGTGTTTAATGTGAGTTTTAACAGTACTTTGTAAAACCACAGTATTGTACAATAATGATAAGAATTTGCATGGTTTGTTATAGATTTGTCCTAAAAAGTCACAAAATATATTAGAGAAATTATTAATAGACATATTAATAGTTATATCAGCCCTTGTGCTCCAGCTTACCTAAGCCCTATTACTTATATATGTTTACAGTAATAAAGCCTTATTTTGTAGAACTAATGCCTCATACCTGATTCGTTCATCTTGCTGACCTCTCATGCTGGACAGAGTTGTTTTCTTTGTGTAATCACTGGTCTTTGCGTCTCTAACACCCTTCCCCCTTGCACGTGTGTGTGTCGTCCTCCTTCCCCCCCACCCTGCTTAAATGATGGAACAGCTTGAAATCTTTAGTTTTTGTCAGAATAAATAAGACTGCTTGGTTTTAATCCTAGAATATAATTGCATGTTGTATTATTTTTTTTACATTGCATCACCAGTTATCAAAGTTCTTTTAATCACATGAAAACAGAATTTCTCTGCCAGGGGAACGTGCAGCTTTGGAGATCTCCAAGGCTTTAGGTTTAAGAACTGGGAGTCTGAACAAAGGCCAGAGCTGATGCTTCATAGGTTCACAAGAGCTAAATATCCTCTTCTGCTGTGGCTGCAGATACCAGATCTGTCAGTCAAAGTTTGGAAGATATCTTAGATTACCAAAAACACCCTTTTATCTTCTTTCCTGTCTGGCCTTTCCTAACTCCTTGCTTGCTTTTCTTGAGATATTTGACTTTGACATTCAAGAAAAGGTTAAAAATATAATAAAGGGCTTAAAAGGTGTGAATATTTTAAATATGCTGTTTAATAAACAAAAGTATGTCTTCTGTAATAATAACTGAATTAATGGCTGTGTTGTTCATTGTAAGCCATGTTAAGCTCATTGTTAAGCCACATACGTTAAATTCTCAAATATTCATCTGAAAAAAAGTAATTCTATAAAATACAGTTTAAACGCTTATCTCTTTGACAATTATTAAAACAGAGAAATACAGAACATTTGTGATAAGTAACATAGCTCCTTTGAATGCAACACAAAAGAATTACTTTTGTAAAATTCATGCTGTTTACATTCCTAGCTGGTAATATTGTTGTGTATGTACAAGTTTAAATGCAGGTTAAAACCACTTTGTGGAAGTCTCCCCAAAGAGTTAGTGTTCTAGATTAGTTCCAAAGAAAATATCCAAGATTATTTTCTTTGTGCAAGAAAACAAAACATGAAACTTCCTTGAAGTTAATTACACCTAAAGAGTTATTTCTCCTTTTCCGGAGCAGGTTTCTCAACAGGAAGACAGAGGCTGGATTAGTAGCTGTGTGGTATTGCGTGGCTTACACCGATGCTCCACATTGACAGAGAGAAGCCGTTATCCATTCATTGCAATGATCAAATCAGAGACGCCTTCTTTACCGAGCTTGAATAGGGAGTGATGGTCGATAACCGCTCTTGAGTATATTGGCCAAGCTGCATTTCTGAAGTACTTTCTAAGTTTACACTTGAATCCCCATGCAGTCTTCTGCAGATAAGCTGGAGTACAGTCTTACGCACGCTTCTGGACATTAGGAAGTACATAACTGGGTCTAAGCAGCTGTTGAAAGATGAAAATATAAGCATAACCTCATTGCATTTGTGAATGATCTCCTTCCAATAACAAGATGGATTTTGTAACTGTGAAGTAATGTAGATGAATCGGAATACGTGATAAGGAACAAAACATATGGTGAAAATGATCAGCACAATGAAAGAATTCCTCGCTGTCTGAGTGTATTTTCCTGCATTAGGGAAATGCGCTCTTTTCTTAGAAATTTTCAGAAGGTTCTTGGCAATTTTAACATATGAAAGTATCAAAAGGAAAAAAACTATCCAAAAAATGATAACAATAATATAATTTAAAATTGCTTCCGTCTTTGCCTTGTGTTTATTTCTGTAATGAAAGCACATAGTGGAGTTGCTTTCCCCACTTTTAGAGAAAGATGGGGCAACCACTATTATAAATCCGGTCAGTGCAAGTGCCCATACAACACAACAAGTATATATGCTTCGGGTGGTAGTGAGCATTTTAGGACGCTTCACAGACTTATTTATTTTTATATAACGATCTAGACTAATCAGTCCCAACAGTACTATGCTAATGTACATATTCATGTAAAAGAGAGTTCCTACAATCTTGCATAAAATCGGTCCAAACTTCCAGGTGTTCTGGGTAATGTGATACAATATTCGAAATGGGAGACAGAAGATGAGCAAAAGGTCTGCAATAGCCACATTTAGTAAGTAAACTTGGATAGAATTCCTTTTCTGGTGAATGCAGAGGAAAGCAAACAGTGCTATAATATTTCCAGCTAATCCAATGACAAAAATAATGGTGTAAAAAAGTATTAAAGCAAATGATAACGAGTCATCATTGAGGGAACAGCTCGCGTTTTGGATTGCTGAGAAGTTTCTGGCTAGGTTTGTTTGGTTATACCAGATAACTTTCCTGTATGGAGGAATATTCAAAAAATCAGCTGAAGTTGCAGCCATCATCTGTTAGGATTTTCTTTGCTGCTCTGTAGAGATGTAAAGAGAAATTATAAGAATTAACCACCAAACACCTTGATATACCTCCATGCTTTATTGCATACACAACCTGAAATAAATGCAGTAAGTAAAAAAGTGAATTAGCCCAAGTTGAGCTATGTTTTGTGGAATAACTTTTTTTTTGTGGACTTTTGACAGATCTCACAGCACGATGTAATCCTTTTCTTAGAAAAAGGAAATGTTGTTGCTTTTTATATATATATATATGTGTGTGTATATATATATATATATATAAAGTGGACAAAAACAGACAGGTTTGGAGTACTCATGCAGATAACAAATCTAATAACTGCTGTTTTAAACTCTATCTTGTTTTGAAATAACTACATTTTGCTGCAAATTTTAGAAATTGTTACCTTTTTCCCCCATCTATAATAATTTTTAAAATATGATGTTCTGTTATTAATACTGACTTTTGTGATCAATGATTTTGTGACAGTGAGATTTCTTAATCGAGATGCCAAAAAATGTGGAAGCAGAGTTAATTGAAGTATTCTCAGTGTGTTAATACAAAATACATGGAAATACATCAAAATTATACTAAGCAGTATTAATTTTTGATAGGCAACCAAATCCCTCTTTTGTGTGAGTCGCTGGTTATCAACTGCCAGTTGATCTTCTAAAAGAAAACTCCTTGGCTATGTAATCTACTATGAGTAACACTATGTGAATTCCTGATACAGTACCTCCCTTATAATAGTATCTTCATATAAATTTTAATTTTTTTCTGGATGTTATATTCATCACTGTGCAAAAAACTACATTAAGGGTGTGACAGTTTTTTATGTTTTCATAAAAATACTAGTTACTTGTCCCTTTAAAGAAAAATCGTGATATACTTTACAAATTCTTTTATCAATATGCTACACAAGTACAGAATTCATACTAACACTAACTAGTCTTAACTATTTTAAAGGTTCATATGTTTTTGTTCCCCTAATCTCATTCAAAAAAAAAAAAAAAAAAAAGGAAGTTTTTCATAATTTGACCCAAGGCTTACAGAATAGTAACAACAAAAAATGCCCTTTGCCATATGCATGGAGTTCTTTGTATACTGGCACTTAAAAATACATATTTAAATAATATAGCTACAGAAATAAAAATGACAGCTTTTTAAGCAAAAAAAGTCTTAGAGATGTATTACTGTATATACAGAATATGAATTAGCGGGTGAGCATATAAACCTTCCATGCTGGCTGATCTTATAATTGCCTTGAGTATGTCCACACTGCCTTAGCACTATTAAGAAGACTGCTGCCTTAATGTTCTTGCTATTTAGTATTAGCTGAAATAATTTTAGAAATTTCTTCTGGCAAAGAAGTCAATGCTTTCAAATACATCTCAAAAGCTGTCTTCCATTTTGATTTCTTGTTAATGTTGCTGTTCTTAAGCCCTTGAAGTTAACGTTGCTGTTCTTAAGCCCTTGACATATACTTACTTACATAGTTACATGTTTATAGTGAATGAGAGATGAAAAAACAATTACATTGTAGATGCTAAAAGTTATGTTTTTAATATACAATAAATGTTTTCACCTATAAGCATGAAGCACATGTGGCTCAAATCTATTAAAGAAGGTAATTTGTCTCTAATACCTCAGTAATTTAAATTTTAATAGCATTTTGCTTTACTGTAGTTTAAGAGGAAACTACTTACCGTTTATTAAGAAAGGCTGCTGATTTTCAGAACCAGTGGTGAAGAGAGGAAGGAGTAACATGCGTGTCCTCTTACTAGAAAGTTAAAGCACCAGCTGCTCTGCAAAAGTGATAAGAATCAGCTGACACAATGCAAATAGCAACAAGAGGAAGTTGATTTAGTTTTATTTTTAAAGGTATTTTTAACTAGCAAAACTCAGTTTATTGAAAATACCGATTTTGATGTTAATTTGCACCTTGGTGGGGAAGTTCTGTTTAAGAAAAAAAAACTCTGAATTTCACTCTTAGTTGGACAGTTTATTTTTTGTCATAGAAACTTTGTTTCTAGTGACCATTCTCAGTATCTTCCTTTCTATTGTTGGGTCAATCTTCTTTTTAATACTCTCATCAAAACAACGTCACTTTTTTACAGTGTAGAGTAGAAATATATCAACATTTCATTAAAAAAGACATCTTTTCCTTTCTTTAGTTCCCCTCCATCTCCCCACCACACAGTGAGAAATTTGAGGTTAATTTTTTATAATGATAGAATATGAAAGTATTTGGAGAGCACAGTATAGTAATCTCAGGCTGATGTAAAATATGAAGGGATAATACCATTTTGAATAGGATGCAAGAGATTGAAAATTATATTGATAAATCATAAATTTACAAGGGGGTTCTGGAAGTGCTAATAATATAGCCTAAGTCTATTGATCATTTCAAGAATATCATCTTGACTTAATGTTCTACTTAGTATTTGGAATGGGAATTCCCATACTGACACTCTTAAATATATCATCTGGCTAGGAATCAATTTTGTAGGGTATTCTTCAGACTTCAATGATATTCAAAGAGTGTATGGCTTATTTTTTGAAAGTGCTTGTTACTTTACAACTGTGTTTTTTTTTTTAAAGGAAAGCATGGATGATGACTTTGCAGGTAGTCAGATTCTGCCATGTAGTTCCTGCGCATTAATCTGGCCAAAAGCTGTAAATTCTGTTTTGCTGAAGTGTTTTCTGTCAATTATTTAGGTAACAGTAATATCAAAAATCTTGAGTGCTCTGCTATATCGAGAAGTATCAGAGGAAGTTATCTGCTGTGCACATATGGAATGGACTGCAGAAGTGCAGCTTTTTTAGTCTTGATATAATTTTCTTCTAGTCTGATATTTAATTTAGTAAATTTGTTTTGTAGAAGTTATTGTAGAACCATGGAGATTTTACAAAATGATCTCACAACCTAGATTGTCCAGCTGGTGCACACAGAAGTATAGAACTCATATACGGATTTTTCCACAGTTTATTTAATCATTCGTGAAGATTGCAATGATACTTTTTCATATTGGAGCAGTTTAGTTCAGTCACTGCCTAATGTGACTTAAACTCTGCAGTTTAGTGTCTGTGTAATGGGTAGCTGCTTTATTCTCGAAAGATACAGAAAATTCCCTGACAAGTTCCTGGCTGAGGACTACTACAAAATAAAGTCTCACTGAAGGCAGCCCTTTTGTGTCTGGTGACAGTGTTCGCTAATGCAGGGACAGTATCTATTTTGAGTTCTTAGTTTTGTAACTTATGTGGTTATGTGTTCCCAAGAAGCAGTGCACAGATTTGACATTTGTCCTTTTAAAATGCTCTAATACTGCTGACTGTGCAGAGTGCTGCAAGCAATATAGGAAGTGGCTCTACATTAATTCCAGTACTTTAGTTATGTATGTTAAATGCTAAATTGTGATTAATAAGTATTTATATAGTTTCCTCCTAGCCCTGTTGTCTATCCTTGCAAACAGTTGTGTAGTATTGTTCTGTTCTCATATTTTGCATCTCACTATTATTGATGAAAAGAATGTGGAAAATTAAATGCAAGTACAATTGTACAGGGAACCCAGTTTAAAGACCTAAGCAGTTTTCTCCACACTAGAATATTTACAGTGTTACAGTTTCAGCTGAAGACTTGGAACAGTGTCGGGCTTGAGTGTGAAAGGTAAAAAGAAAAAGTAATACTAGGAAAGAAATTTTTCTCAGACTGCCATCATTATCTCCATTCCTTACTATTTCATTATTTGGAGTTTAAAAAAAAATGAAAGAAAACAGCTTCTCTTGGCTAAGTTATGAAGATGTTCTCTTTAAAGGAAATTATACTTTTCAAGTATTGTAATAAATCTGTCTTTTTTTCTTTTCAGCCACACTGTGTATTGCTTGCCTCTAAAGAGAATTCAGCTCCTGTAAAGCTTGGTGGCTTTGGGGTAGCAATTCAGCTAGGGGAGTCTGGATTAGTTGCCGGAGGTAAGAAATCTAGTACCTTTCTTTATTTTCTTTCAAAGAAAAATACTATGTATGTTGTACTGGTGAAGTCTGTTCTTCCAACACAGCCTGACCTATAATAGAACTCCAAAATAATCCTTCAGTAAAGATTTTGTTAACTTTGTAAATGCACACAGTAAATCCAAACAGCTAATCAACTGCACTGCATTGTTCTGTGTACATAACATACATACTCTGTATGTAGAGAGTATTCTCAGTGTTATTCACTAAGGTCTTGCACAGGTTTGATCACAATAAGGTTAAAAAATGAAAAGATTTTTGCATATTAATATAATCCTTGACCGTGTCTGCACATGACAAACCAAATAAGGTAAAAGTGATACCAACATTGAAATGTGTGCCAAGGGACTTTGTGCTCCCCCAGTGACTCTTGGCAATTTCCATCAGAATTCTGTTTAGCAGAAAAAACTTATTAGTGATTACGTGTAATTCTTCTGTGTTTTTATATTTCATTCAAAGTATTGCATAAGACATCAATATCTTGATACATATGTATATTTTTGACTGTGTTTTGTTTTTTGTGAATTTTATTTCCTCTAGCTGCCTTCCATATTGTTCCAGACAATAGGGTTATGCTTTACTCATCCTGCACAGATGAAGACCCAATCAGTTTTCTGATGCTTTCATTGCCAGAATAGGGGACCACAAGAAAGGATTTCATTAGGGATTTTTTTCTTTCTACGCAAGGAATACTTCCCAGTTCAGTGCTTCTGCAAAACCTCAGCTTTCCTAACCTAAGTCTTTTAAGATGTGTGTCATTTTGGTTTTTATATGTTCTTTAAAATAAAAGGCATCCCCAATATAAACACACCAAAAGTTCTAATTCTCTTTGAGATATGTCCAGTATTTTGGATATTCTTATTACCTAGGTGAGCAACTTAATCCATGTCTTCTGTTTCAGATACTCTTTTGGAGCTAGTCACTCATATTGTACTCCCAGACTACCAACTGTCTGACAAAAAATTCAAGTGAACTTTCTCCCTGAGTTTGTTATATCCTTCTTTTCCTGATACGATTCACAGTTCTGTGATCCCACTCATTCACGTGCTCAAACTTTATGCATTATTAGTGTTTATCTTTTTTTTAGTTTTTTTAGTGTAAAAATGTTTTCATTCCTTTCTGATTCTGTTGGCAGTATTTGTAGAATCTTCTTTCTTTTTTAATTTGCATCTATACAGTATTTCTTTGCATGTTGGTCACCTTTTGTTTTGTCTGTCTAAACCTCTACCACATTAGTCTACCTTCATATTCTCAGTCTCTCTCACTCATTTTCCACTTATAGCCTTTTCTTTAGCACTTCTTACTTTCAGCTTCAAATTTAAGGTGCCTTTCTTATCTTCAAGGTTACTAAGATTTGTTTCATTTTGTTTATATATCATATGAAGTCTCAGTTCTACCTCTTGTCTCCAGTTTCCTCCTCCTGTCTTTCTTCTCATCCTCCATTGCAGCCTTTTACTTAAAACTCCATCTTCTACTAGCAAGTCTTTTCTCCTCCCGTGTCCATTCTGAGCACATATTACTAGAAGACCTGTACAGCACTTGCAAGATATTTCACCCACTTAGCTATGTTGTCTGAATCAGACTGTAAATTTCTTGTAACAACTTGGTGCTTTACATATTTGCATAAAACTAAGCTATATAGACTCGTTTCATTTTGTAATAATACTTTTTTAAAAAAATTACAAGCACTACTTATTTGTAGTGAATGAAATAGAAATGCTCTACTTGAGCAGAAGTTTATGATCAGCGCAGTACCCACTCTGTGCACAGTCACATTCTTTTCCTAGTTATTAATATAAAACATTAACTTTGCTTAACGTAGTAAATTGTTTCTTCTGCAGCATGTAATTTGCTGTATTTGGTGATTCTTTTCAGGCATAACAACATACCTAATAAGAAATGCTTGATTCAATGAAAGCTGCTATGACACTAAGATTCTCTTACTGACCTGAAAAATCCCTGTGCTCCTAAATTATCTTGGTGTTCAATAGATATTAAAAATTTTAGCAAGACTAGAAATTCTAGTTACAGAAAAGTGAAACACTTATTAACCTTTCACTGTCTAGGTAATTAATATGTATTAGCACAATACTCTAGGAGTGTATGCTCATTTCTCTTGTAAATCTTCTTGTAGATTGTCGTGGTATTTGAGGACATAAATGCTTTTTATCTTTCCTTATTTTTTCCCCCAATATTTGTGATGGTCAGTCTTTTTTCCAGTCTTGAGATACAAGTCAAAGGTCAAATTGCACTGCTCAGAAAGATCAAAACTGTAGTGTCCTTTCAAGGAAATAGAGGGTTATTTAACAAAGTGTTAGGGAGCCCTTGTCAACAGGCAGATACTAGTTGGCATTAATGAAAATGTCTTGGGATACATTTTATGAAAATAATTTATGAGCTATCAATCCAATGGAGTTTAAGAGAGTTTAAACATTACCAAGCAATGGCAAAAACCAATGGACATTGCCATAACTCATTTTGCATAAGGCCAAAGGGAATATGTTAGGAAATATTTTTGTTCAATTATGTTTGCCTAAGGCTGCAATACAGTATGTTAGAATCAAGATGTGTCGTCCTAAATTACAGGAAATTGTTTTCATGAGATACCCATCTCTGAAATACTCCCTTTTGGAGGATGCTTAGGATCCCAAGGAGAAAATCAGTGGTATAGTAAAAATAAATTTAAAAAGTGGTATAATAAAAATAGTGGTATTCATTTGATGTATTCAAGTAGGTCATTTAAGGTTAAATTATCTCAATATAGACAGTAGTTATAGATCATCATAATTTATAAATGAAGAATGTATTTAACAGGATGTAGACAGGAAACAGTACAAGATGTTTGCATGATTATGATGCAAGTGGAAAGGTAGTGGAGCCCAACAAGTCAGTGAGTTAATAGAGCAATTTCTTATTATGATCTCATTCTTCTTCCTTGGAGGAATTTTATTCCATAACTTAGTATGTATTTTCACAGTATTTTCTTAAATGTGGTGGTCAGATCTATCAGATATATCACATATATTTGTTCTGATCAGATGTATTTTAGGTGCTAACTATGTTTTAGTACAGAAGTACTGTATAAAAGTCTAAATTAACAGAAGTCATTGAGTTCCTCCATTCCTTTTTCTAATTCTGCTGGTTTCATCTAGTAGAAAATCTGCCTCATTTTGAATGGTATAAGATTTTGTTCTGTTGTGTTTGTCTATGGATAGTTGACAGCTTATCTATTCACTTTTTATTATTAGCTGCAAAATGTAATAGGAACCATTATGCGAGCCTAGTCCAAAACCGATTTTGGTTCACCAAGTGTTCGTTAGCTTTCCAAAGTGCCTCCAGACTCATAGAATATCTTGTGGATCCTAACCAAGCCATCATCATCATCATCTTGCTGGAATAAGTCTTCTATGTTCTGCATAGAAGTACATCACGCAGACACCAACTGTTCCCAGTGCTTCATCAGCCAACCTTTTGGCATTAGCATAAAAATGGCAAAGGAAAACATTGCCGTAGGTTTCCCTTCGTTCTTTCCCAAAGAATTGAATTGGGGAAAGAAAACTCAAAGTAACTCATTAGTAATATTTTTCTATCAATGTGAAGTAATCTTCTTAGTGGTTTTGTATACCTCATTTGAAAAATAGTGTTTTGGGACTGTTGTATTTTTATGCTGACCAGACTTCTTTGTTTGCTCAGCATCAGTGTCCAAATGGCACAGAAAATCTTTCATTTTTCTAAGGGGAAATAAACATTTGTAAACAGATGTCCTTCACTAGTATTCTTCTTTTTGCTAAAGTAGTAGTATTTTATTCTTCTGCACAGCAAGACTATCTCAATATTTTTTTTTCTAAATAAACAGATATTTGAGTCTCTTCAAAGCCTTGTCTCTGATACTTTGTTTTATTTCACAGATATAGCTGTATTTTGCTTTCTCTCAGAATTTCCACTTCACATCTGGGTCAATTTGAGAGTGCTTACAGGAAGATAATGTGGTTAAAAAATCAATTTAGATTGACTTCTCTGTCATCGTTTTGTGGCTAAAAAAGGCCAATGGATCAATTATTATAATTTGTCTGGCTGTCCTGTGGTCTTTATGCATTTTCTGGGCACTAATACCCAGGTGCCCAGGTATCTGCTGATCCATCTTTTTAAATACCTTTTCTTCAGACAGTCTTCTGTGCTGAAGTTGAAATGTTTTTGTTTTTAATCTACTCATCTTCCCTGTACACCAGCTTTAAACATCTCTGTTGTCTGGAGTAATGTGGAAAGGAATTAGAAGTAGTAAAACATGATCAATCTGATCAGTTGTTTGTGTGATTCTTTGATTTCTTCCACATTATTCTGGACATTCCACTCTTGTAGAAACTCCTTAATTTAAGAAACATATTTCTATGTGAGAGGTCAGATGGTGATGTTTATTAGTACCTCACATTTTTTTCCTAAAAATTATTTGTTCCAGTTGTTTCCTTATACATCGTTCAGATACTACTGCTGTTGAAAGACTCTCCTTCTGATATCTTGATCATCAGTCCCCTGCCTTAGGGATGACAAAATCTGATTGGGTCTCTGTATAAACTCTTCTTCTTGTGGAAAGCATAGCCCTATTGTCTGGAATAATATGGGAACAGTCATAGAAACTAAATTACCAAAGGTAAGTCAAAATTTATCTTTAGTGCTTGTGAATGATAGCAGATTGACAGCACTGAGCACTGAAGCTCTGTCTTTGTCACAGGAGAAAACAGCATGAATAGCAATTTTACACATTTTCACAGGATCAACATACTTCAAAGCTAGCTGATGGGGAAGCTTGCCTCTAGAAATAAGATGTCTGTTAGACTAAGCCCATTCAGGCACTGAGTGCTTCTTCAGAGAGCAAGCACTTTGATTTATTTGCAAAGAATTAAACAGAGGCAAGTATCACATTCAGCACGTCAATGAAGAGTTTTCATAGAAATGATGAATGCTACTTTAGAACAAGTAAGAGGAGCCTAGAAGTAGGTAAAAACATGTAGTCTTTCATGTGACCTTATTTTCATACACGAACACAACTGAAGTAATTTGTGTGCATGCATCGAATATTTATGTAAATAAAGTTTATCCTGGGCAGCCATTAGAAGATATCCCTGAGTGTTTTTATATCTGGAAGAATACAGGCAGAAGGTGTCTTTTCGGAGAGATAGCAGTGTCTTTGCTCACTCTTCTGTCTCATCTTACCTCCAAAAAGATACAAAGGTTCCATCAAATCGCCAAAGAAAATTCAAAAGCTTATAGAATCTGTAAAGATAATTGAACTGTTGTGAAAAATATGTTCTTTAAAATGTTATACTATGGACATGTTTAGAATCTGAACTTGTCTGCTAGATAATTAGCCTACTTTTTCAAAAATTATTAAATGTATAGGCAATGGGTAAGAAGCTGCTATTAAAGAAACAGAAACATTTTACCAAAAATTATGATAGATTATCAGCAAAGTGCTACTTTGGTCTAAAGATTAGACAGTATCTGTGACTTTAGCAAAACTTGTTGTATATAGATTTCATATAATAAATGAACATTTATTCTGTTAATGACATATATGTTACAGTTTTTGTAACTGTGACATAGCAAAAATCCATATCTTTATGTAGATTTTTTCCTTTCATTTTGCAGAGAAAAATGCAGTAGTTTTCTCTTAGACAGCAATTTTTAGAATAACTTCAAAATATCGTTTGCTACCGTGATAAACATGGAGAAGTAGTCGTTAGTTGTCATGAGGAAGATGTCCAGCAGTCCCTTAAATGATTTTAACCTTTTTAATAGAGTTCGTAATATGTGGATGTATTTATTCCTGTGTAACTGGACAGTGCAGGTTCCAACTGAACAACCTTCTGTTTGTTTTGGATTTGCCCTTTCATAGAGGTGAAGTGTTGATCTGCTTCCATGTCTTAGAATATCAGGATTTTGAAATCATCACTATAAAAAGGTTTCAAAATGAAATTATTTTGTAGTTTGTATTGACATCCTTTTTGTTTTTTAACCATTCCCTTCTGATTAATTATATTGCAAGGAGTGGTAAATGGATGGGTTTTATTAAGTTAGTGTACTCCTCTCTCTCATTTCTTGATTTAAGCTTATATACTTATTTAAAATTTAAAAGCAAGTGTTAAGATTTAGTAATACTGATTTGTCAACAGGTTATTAAGTAGCATTCGTTTTTCATACCATGGTAGCAGAAATGTGTTGAAGGTCTTAAAAGAGTATGTAAGATGTGACATATTGAGTTGCCTAGTCCTTCTACTTAATGTTAAGCAGTTCCATTAAGGTGGATTTGTCCATGATATGTTACTTTTGAACCAAGTCAGCAAAGATCCCATTCTTTTACTTGTCATCTAAGGTCTGTATGTTCGTAAGAATGAGAAAAAGGATTTGAGCAGATCAGAGAGGGACAGGTTTTTTTAAACTCCGACTTACAAGTCTGTCAGAGTTTGTCTGTGATAAAACATGAGTAGCAATACACAGGCTCACAGCCTGGGCATGTATCAGATAAAGTAAATGAGGAACCATGGGGTATGAAGAGGCTGCAGTTTGCCACGGTCATACAGACCAAGCAGGGGCTAAGCCTCAGGAAGCTACTGAGCTTTTCTTTTTCTGCTTTTAAAAAAATAATAACCAAACAAAAGAAGTGTATATAGAGAGAAAAACTATAATATGGGAGCCATTGATAATGAACATAGCGGTGTCAAAATAGATGTGCAATGAATAAAAAATTCTTGAGTATTATATTTTGTCTGCAACTTTGGTAAGTTCACTGATGCAACCTGTGTTTGCTTTTTGTTGATCTACAGTAGCTTTGTAAGTATTTTTGTATTTCCTTGTCAAGAAGAGTAGTAGACAGGAGAGGACAACTAGAAATTGTTGTCTACCATCAAGACACTTTCTTTCAAAATTTAGGGAAGCTGATTAATGTTCACTTTTAAGTCAATGTTTTCTTCTGCATATATTTATAAATGAAAAAGTACCATCTTTCTGTCAATTTCTTAATTCTTATAGATCAAAAAAGGAGTGGGAACTAGTTTACAGGGCATGATTAGATCACATTCCTGCATCAGGTGGTGCAAATGGAGGATGCTCTTCACTAAATTACTGTCAAACAGTCTCCTATACGTTGCTTACCAAAGCTGTCCCTTAAGATAACTCACATTCCTGTGTTGCATTGTGTGGGACAGGCTCACCTAGCAAGAGTCTTTGCCAGACGACACAGAGTTAAGTGAATATTGTGCTAACCCCTTTGGCTCTCTGGGCTCATTATAAACTCTCCTAGACATGAGAATGGTGCTGCAAGCCTTGAATGCAGCAAGTGAGCAAGAGTAACATGGGCCCCTGATGCAAGTGGTAAAACAGGTTGCTGGAGTTGCGATTTTTTTCTTCTTCTTTTGGTACTGAAAAGAACCACTGTAGCCCAAAGACTGTGATCATTTTTCATATTCAAGAGTGATATCCTGGTCTTTCAAAACTTAATTCTTGTTCCTTTGTAAATCCTCTGCAACGGAGACTTGTTTAGCATGGGATGCCATTTATAGGGATAAAAAATGTTTGTTGCTCTTATTTGGCTTAACGTTACATAGTATTAGAATGACAGTATTCAAAATCATTTGTTCACACAAGAGATTAGTTGACAGTAAATCTGTTTCATCAAAATCAGTAATGTCATAGAACGACTGCTGTGTGGCAAACATGAAATGCACTATGTGAAACACATCAGCATTATCCTTTTATCTGCTAGAAGGTACTGTGTACTGCAAGAAAATAAACAGCATGTTTGCTAGCATTTTGCATCCTTTTTGACAATTCTTGTAAATCAGCTAAGATTAGAGCGGGTAACAGACCAAACCTGCTCTCACATACTAGGGGAAGACTTTGCAAATGAGCTCTGTAGACAATATGATTGTAATCACATCATCTGCCAATGAAATGATTGTGTACAGGTTCTCTGGATAAATAATTTGTTTGCTCAAGTTAATATTTTTATGTTTATAGAGACTGCTCCGCTGAAGAATCTTTGTGCTGTTAAATGAATGCTGTTTCACTTTTTTCAGGGATAGGATAGAAGATTACTCAATGTACAAAAGTGTAAATCAAGGAAAAGAGAAACTAATGACTGGTCTAAATGGACACATTCAATAAATACTGAACTGGAGGAAAAAAGCGAGTTTTGAGAATTCAATCTGCAAATAAAACTTATTAAAATTGTTATAGTTTAATGCAGTACTGTTCTTTATTTCTGTCTTTCTTTGTTCTTTATTTCTGCATACACACGTGGCTTTGACTCACTTTTGTTTTTATTTCTATTTAGGACGTGTAGGAACACCTCATTTTATGGCCCCAGAAGTGGTAAAAAGAGAACCATATGGGAAGCCTGTAGATGTTTGGGGTTGTGGAGTGATCCTTTTCATCCTGCTAAGCGGCTGTTTACCTTTTTATGGAACCAAGGAAAGATTATTTGAAGGCATTATTAAAGGAAAATACAAGGTAAATGACAGTATGCCTGAGATCTTCTCCAGTAAGATGAAGTCTGCTCTTAAAATTTCTCCAAGTTGATGACTTTATTTAGCTTGAATTGAACCTAAAGTTTATAGAAAGCTGTTTCTGTTGCTCAGAAAGAGGGATGATTTTATCTCTCCAATCAATGTTTTTCATACTGCGTTTTGTATCATTGGTAGCATTTAGAAGAAAAATTGATTTGCTGAGATGAAATGATGAAGTGCAGCCACTAGCCCCAATTTTACATTGTGCACAGTAAGATTACACAAAATATAGCTGTAGAATACAGCAATCCATGTGTTTCTTTTGCTTATAGATCATTTAGTTTTTTACCCAAATAAAAGCACTTTCATAAGAACTGATCCTCTGTTGCCTTGATTCAAAGTAAAATGCTGTAAATACTGTAAAATACTGTAGAAATGTGGTTAGCCATTCTTTCTAGTGCTGCATGTAGTAAAGCTGATTATTCAGAAGGAACTACGTGCAACTCAAACTGCTGTGCATGTGAGATAAGCATGAGAGCCATGAGATCCTGGAGCCACTCCGAGACAAATTTAAAGCTGCTACTTTGGTATTTTTGCTGCTTTGTCTAAGATCACACTGTTTTGCAATACTTTTTCTCCAAAGATCATACATGTTCTCTGTGTTAGCGGAGTAAATACAGAAACAAAACTGTCTGATAGTCTGTATGGTGTTGTATGAAGAACTGTGGGGTTTTGTTTTTGCTGTATGCTGGCAGCTGTGCAGTAAAACCTAAGTGACAGCTGTGGCACCACACTTGACCAGGAATTTTTAACTCTTTGCATTCACACTCCTAGAAACAGCAGGATTTCTTCAAGGCACTGATTTTTGAGTTTTGCTTAGACTCAGTTTCACTTGGAAGACTTGAATCTCTCAAGTCACAGAAACTTCTGGAAGTTTAAAAGTTAACTATTTTTCTTCCTTTTTTAACTTAAGTCATTGCTATCACGTTGTGCCTTCTCAGTTCCTTTTCTGTTCCTGTTACCACAGCAATGTGTCTATTCAGTGAAAATAGTTAAGAGATTCAAAATAGTCATGTTATAAAACTGCCATTACCTTCAGTTCATTATAACTGTGTATTTTATAGTCAGATAAGTATTCCCGAGTTCTCTAATTTAAAGGGATAATTTTTGCTAAAGACTTGTTATAAATAAAATAGATATCCTTATATGAACTGTTCAAATATTGCAAAAAGTCTGGTTAGAACTTTGAATTCTCTTTTAGGACCTCATAAAGTTAACAGTGTTTCATTTAAATAAAACTTAAGCTGTTCATAAATCAAACATTAGAAATAGCTTAAGGATGTATTCCTTTACTGCAGAAACAAATTTCTTAATTTAGTAAGATTTGATTGGTTATCCACTCTCTTGAATAGTTGGACATTACTGAAACGTGCATAGATGCACAATATGCAAATATATTCTAAATTAACCTTCATGTCCTTGCTTTCTAAGGATACATCTCTGCTCTAAAAAGCATCAAGTCCATGCTTGCTTGTGTTGTTGATAACCTATCAGTATGCTGGCCTGAGTGACTGAATTGTATATTACTTCTTATTTGTTGTAAAGCTGTAAAGAATTTTCTGGGGAGAAGCATTGCCTGTGATAGCTACGGGACAAGTACTTCTGAAAGAATAACCAGATTCTTACTCAGAATCAGTGGCATGGCATTATGGCATTATACAGACAGACTGTTGCCTTTCCTTACACTAATTTCTGGAGTAGATTTAATTTCCATAGTTATCCTAAGCACATTTAACTTATGGACCAAGCCTACCTTGTTTTCATTTTTCATAGTGAAACGAAATGTAAGGTGGAAAGTATTAGAAAATTATACTGTGATTATATCACAATACTAAGAATAAAATTCAGCTTTTATGTATGGTCTAATGCTCACTCATGTTATCAAGATATTGATAAGTACCAGCTAATGTGAATCTCTGTGATTACCTTTATAAAGAATAGCAGTTTTGTAATCTTATTGCTAATTTAATTTCTTTCTCATAATCAGATGAATCCTAGACAATGGAGCCATATCTCTGAAAGTGCCAAAGACCTGGTACGCCGTATGCTTATGCTAGATCCAGCAGAAAGGATAACAGTATATGAAGCACTGAATCATCCTTGGTTAAAGGTAATAAGTCAAGCTCTATAAATACCAGTTATCTCTTCAAGACAGAAAACAAATTTGTTTACTTGTTTGAATTTTTCAAAGTAGACACATTGTATTTCATATGATATCATATTATATATCATATCATATATAGACACATCACATCGTATAAAACATGTCATAATATACTGTTCCTTAGCTGCAACAGCAAGTTTGCTTGTGCCTCTTACACAGCATCAGAGTTTGGAGATCAGGGCTGTATGGAGTGAAGTTTGAGGAAGGAATTCTTGTGGCTTTCAGACTCCAGGACAGGGGAGGGAAGCGCTCAGCTGCTATAAGTTATTTCCCCACTGCCTGCTGTTTGCTAGAAGATTTCTGCTGTGCATCTGCACTGGAGGTTTCTTCATGTATCCAAAAACCTGGTATCACCAGCCATTTTGCTGACGCTTGCTGTTCTGTGTAGGAGACACATCCCAACTCCCAAACTTGCCTCCAGTTTCAGGGACCTCCTAAGGCAGTACTTGCTTATGTTGCTTTCCTGGGACTTGAGTATCTAAAGCAGCAGAACTGCTTACTTTGTGCTTTGCCAACTGTGCAGTAACTTACAACATAATAGGAAAACAAAAAGTTAGGCTTGTATTGCAAAGTGGGAAACAAAATTAAAAAAAAAAAATAAAAAACAAAGAAAAGAAGCAAGGCTCAAATTTAAAATGTCTCTGGAGCCCAGTTTATTAGGATTGTTAGCTAACCAGCCAGTAAAGCATCTAGGTTTAATTGCTTAGATACTTTTATCATTTAGAAGAAATAAAGTCTCCATAAGGCACTATAAACCATGTTGTTTATGTATGATGGAGGCACAGAAAAATCAAACTGTTTAAGAAATCTTTATAATCATCAGTGTATGTGTAACTTTACATCAATGAATACTAACTTTAGAAAATACAAGCAATCTACCACGTTCTCAGATGCTAGAATCAAAATTTAATTTAATTCCTATTAGTTTTTTAAACTTTTCCTTAAGTTGCTTTGGGTCTCCCAATTCTTTTTGCAGTAGTAGTACAATTCTAGTGCATTTCTTATCCAATTTCTTAATGTTGAGAGAATATTGAAATTGAATATTGAGAGAGCTTGCATTCATATTTTTTTTATTTGGCTTGTTTTTGTGTGTTTTAAAAGGAGAGAGATCGCTATGCATACAAGATTCATCTTCCAGAAACAGTAGAGCAATTGAGAAAATTCAATGCAAGAAGAAAACTAAAGGTAAAATGAATGTAGTCTTTAAGCAATACAGTTACATTTTGTATGATATTTTATTAATTTTTAAACATCTAAGAAAAATGTAGGGCTTGCATAAATTAATGAAATTGAAGCAGCTTTTAGAAGTATTTTAGCACACTGATGTCCTATTGAAGATATTTGTCCTTCATATTTTTAATTCAAACTAAATCTGCATCTTAAAGACAGGTCTGCATCTTAAATTAATACAGCAATACTATATAGTCTTAATTATTGGGAAGGGCGGAAAGGATGCTGTGGTTGCTTTGATTAAACTTAAGTTAAACTGAACTGAATTTAAGATAAATAAATAAAACAGAGATATATTCTTCAGTTTACCATCTTTTTGTTTAAGAGCACACAGGGGCAGTTTTCATTATTGAAGATAATGTTAATATTTTAGCCAAAAATGACATGATCCACTTTTAGAACAGTGTTATTCCTTTCTTGGAAAGGCTAACCGAAGCACTGAAAATTGGAAAAAAAATTAAGAGAAATACACGAAATTACAGTTTCTTAGTCTTTATGTTAAAATAGTGCTTTAATTAAAATCTTAGCCAGAATGTTTTGAAATATAACCTGTTTTCCTACTCTAAACACAGCTTCAGATCTTTCCCATATGTCTTTCTGCAGAAGCCCCTACTTCTAATCTCTTGACAGCTTTTATATCTTGAACATAATTTCTGCTATTTGTTTTATACCACTTTATCCAAAGCCTTGCTTTGCACAGTGTCTTCTAAAACTATTTGCTCTCTGTTTTATCTACTGCCACACCTATAAAATGTTAAAAATTCACTGGTTAAAACATAATTCAATTGAACAAGTAAATGCATGTCAAATCAGGAAATTTTTCTAAAATTTTTTTTGCAACATCCCATATAAGATTCATGCTGGTAGCCTGAGATTACAGATTTTCAGATATGTCATAGATATCAAGTATTTTAATGCTGTCAATATCACGTCCTGATAATTGTCTGAATTTCAACGTATCATTTTGATTGAAAGCATATGTCTTTATCGTTGATAATCTACTCAATCTAGGTAAGAGGAAAAGGGAAATCAGAATACTTTGTTAACTTTCGGCTATGGCAACTTATACCTTATGCTCTTATTTTATCTGAAGGTCTTCATATTTCCTAGTGATGAGATAAGAAACTGCTGTTTCCACTATAAAACGAAGAAAATAGCAGTCATATCCACGATCTGTTTTGCAATGACACAACTCAACCAGGACTTGATTAGGGAGATGGCCAGAATTTCTATCCTGCCTTCTGCTACCTGCACATTTTACTGTTTTCTTTAATCCCTACCAAAACAGGGCAATACTTTTTGCTTCTGATAGTTATTATTTTAACATGTAAAAAATACATTTGAGTCTGGAAAATGCTGAACTGTGTAAAATTTGGTTAATTGCTTTTTAGACTTCCTACTTAAAACCAGTTGACTCTTCATAGTTTTATCTGCTCCTTTTTTTTCCTCCTCCTTTCATGCATTGTGCTTGAACAAGAAGTCAACAGTTGATGAATGCTGATAAAAAAAAAAGTGAAGTTATAATGTGATTGGACATTAACTCCTTAGAGTTGCCGTGAATACTGCTTAATATATAGAGCTGAAACTGTTTGTAAAGTACATTAAATTCTAAGCAGTCGGACTTCAAGCTTTTCTGTACAATAAGCTTTATGCTTTGTTCTCAACTCCTCTCTAATTTTTAGGTTGTATAAAATTGCTGCAAAAGCGATTGGAATGGACTTGAGAAAAAAAAATCCATAATAATGATAAATTTGAAATAATTTTTTCTCCAAATGATTTCAGTAGAGAAGGTTGGGAAAAAAAGAAAAAAAAAAAGCTAGCTTGTTCTTTTTGTTTAAGGCTATCCTGAAGTTTTATGGGCAGTTTTTTGGGGGGGGTTCTTTTTTTTTTTTGGTAGATGTTCTAGCATTTTAAAGGATTTTAATACCCTTTGCCAGATTCATTTCTGTTCCCTTAGATCCTTTCAGTATGAGTAGCATCCAGGATGAGTGTATAAAATGCTAGATCTAAAAAGTTTCAAGAGACAATGGATATTGTAGTCCAAGTATCATATTAGTTGCTGGTAAATTCTGTGCATTGCATAGAGCTGTACTTACTGGTGTAGATGGACACCTGCTTCAGTGAACTTAACTTGTAATAATTTTAACTTGATTTTTATGAAATAAAATATGAACAAAATGTATTCTGTAAAACCTTTAATTTGGTTATTTATCCTTATTGAAAAGTGGTAATTTTGGAATGGTGAATTTGTCCTTCTAAAAGGAAAGCATTCTTTGTTTGATATGATTTGAAATTGAGGGTTTGATTCCTGCACTACTGCTTCTTTAGAAGGATTTTTAAATTCTCTATGAGAAAGAATTGTCCTCATGAATCCCCTTGCAAAGAAGATAGTTAATGTCCATTAGAATATAGCATGACAGCTCTTCTGTTGAATGTGTTCAGTGATACCTGTGAAGTAGACCTGGAGAGAATGAATTTTTCCATCTACTCTTCACCAGGAAGGTCAGCATAGGAGGCAGTATGGGAGGCTGAGTGGTGCAGGGTGTCAGGGAATGGTTGAGCTTTGTGTAATTCAGCCTTTACTGTGTTTGTGTTCAGGGGGCAGTACTAGCAGCTGTGTCAAGCCACAAATTCAATTCCTTCTATGGTGATCCCCCTGAAGAGCTGCCAGACTTCTCTGAAGACCCTACCTCCTCAGGTATTTTAACAGAAAGTGTATGTACTGCAGGAAGCCTCTTTTCAATTTATGCTGACGAGAGTAGCAAATATTTGTTAATTTCTCACAAATTTATAAAGCTGCATATTAAAATAATCTTGAAATATGAAAGTGTAAATGCTCTTAGTGCTAATACTGCTGGTAACTGGAGAGAATCAGGAGGCTGTTCTTCAGAGTAGTAAATTTCTACAGAAATTCTGCCTGGATTTCTATTTAATGAGCGTGCATTTAATTACAAATACTACATTGCCTCATATTTCTCTTTACATGGCTTGAGTGTGAGAGCGTGTTGGACTGTGGCCTGTATTCTGAGCAGCATTATTTATGAATTACTAATTTATTTTAAAAAGAGGAAACAACTGTATAAACTTTGTGTGTATATCTGTAGTTTCTTGATTGCTGTTTTAGTGTGATTAAGAGGTCTTGCCTTGTAAAGCAGGGGAGACCATATTTCTCATACTGTGAACCAAATCCCCAAATCTTCAAGAGCCAAGAGACAAAATGCACATTCTTCAGGGACCTCCCAAAATAGTTCCGATGGGAAAATAATACGCTTGCTGCACTGTGGGCATGGAGCTGAGTCTTAGGCCACACATAATATTGGTTGTTGTAGTCCTTTTGTCTTCAGCTGGTAGTCAGGGATTTAAATCATCTGTCAGTCTGTGTACTAAGACAGCCCGGTTATAGTTATGTATCCTAATTTTAGTATGCATACTTCATCTGAATTCACAAAAGTTGCAGTTCAGAAATCTGATGTGGGCTGTCTGTTCTAATAGCAGAATTTAGGATGTTTTTTCTTTTAAAGTTCAAAAAACTTTCTTTTTTTTCCCCTTTCTTAGACAATAGTGATTGCATAATATTTGAGTTGTAAGCATAATACTTTAAATCTTTACTAGAAAACTATTTCAGGAATTTAATTATATACATTGAACTGTTGTTATAGTAAATTCTCTCTCCTAATATTTTTGTGAGACAAGTATGGACTGTAGGTGTTCTGTAACCCTTTTCTACTCTTTCATAGGATTGATTCATTTCAATATCATTAATATAAGATTTTGGGGATATTTGAGCTTTTTTCAGATTTTTTTGTTCAAAGTCTTAAATTTAACTTCTTAAAATTTACATTTGAGTACTTAAATGTAAGCACTGTTTGGTTCGTAGAGAAGCTTACTGTTCTCAACTTCCACCGAAATGATTGGGAATCCCAGGTCTTTTATTGCAAATGAGTAGTTACAGTTTCATAGCTTATCTTCAGGCAACCAGCTTGGAATCCTTGATGCACGTAAGGGAACCACTTTGTTCTTTTTAAGAAGAATCAGTTTTTTTTGACCTCACCCAGGATTACTTGCAGTACCTTAACTTTTGTTTCCAGCTACTTCCTCCTTTTCAGCAAAGTGAATAGGCTGCTGACATGTTTGGCAGTCACAGCTTTCCTAATCCAAAACCTGCAGTTCCCCTTTGCAGTTTCAGTCTCACATCAACATAACATGTGTCTTCCTCATGGGGTGATGTAGTTGCAGATCTCAGAATGCACTAAAGGTACAAGTTCTCTGTTATTTTCTCCTCATAGAATGCATGAATCCAGTACACTTTCCATACATTCTACATAACTTCTCAATTGGATTCACCATTGTCTTGTATTAGCTTCTGCAGTAATTAAACCAATAGCTTAATTTTCTCTCAGGAAGGCTTTGTATTCTTTAAGAAAACATTATGGATCTCATTGATGGGAGATCATAGTGATCAAGAAATCATATTGAATAAATAGCTTTCATGCCTCCCTGATTGATTAAATTAACTAATAAAATGCTTTGTATCTGAGGATAAAAATGTTAAAGCTTCCAAGAAAAGATATTGCAATTTTTACCTTAAGAAATAGCTAGATAGAGAAATTTATTAGTTTTCTTCTTCAGAAATGCACCAGTTATTTTCAAATATTTATGGCTCACAAAAATTAGGCTGTTATGATTCTAAACTGAAGAGTTAGCTTGTCGGAATACAGTTCTCAAATTGCAGTGGAAACTTGGCTGTTTTAAAGTAGTTAAAGTTCCTTTCCTAACAGATCATTGTATTATTGCAGATAATAAACTCTAGCAAAGAGCACTTTAATATTTTAATTATTGCTACCTATTTAATCCTCCCATAAATCTCATGATTTGAGAAGCTTAGTATTGAAATGAAATGCTTTGTCAGGAATGGGGAAATATAGAAGTCCTACTGAGGTAAACATCCTGAAATGTAGACATTTACCAGATTATGCAAATCTTGTACACTGTCTCGCTCTTGTTTTTTCTACACATGGAAGGACAAAATTTTAGTTTTGTCATTTTTGCAGATTAATCCCTGTATGTTCTTCATAAATTGGTGAATCTGGGATTGCTGGGCATTGTGAGATTCTTCCTGTGCTCTCAAAGCAGTGGTCTGCAATATGAAGGTGCTATAGGTGGCAAGTTAGACCACTTTCTCACATGCAGGATTACAAAAGTTATTCTGTCTTTGTGACTAGAGAGCTTTCCAGCAAGGAAAAGCAAAGGGAATAACTCAATTTGGTGGCAATTAGCATAGACAATTTCACTGATAATCAGCCAGGTATTTTTCTAGACACGTCTTCCTTTCTTGGTCACAAAATGTTAGTAATTCTTAGTGCATCCAACTAGTGATTATCAATCATATGCTTGTTCTGGGTGATCAATTTTCTTATATCACCTGTTGTCCTCTGAAGGACTTCCTTAATCCTACTAGGTATTAATTAATAGCTGTTACTAATTTATAGTGTTTTGCAGGTAACAGCAGAAGTAAATCATGATGGATATTGAGAGAGCATAGCAGAGACCTTAAGAATTTTTGAAAAATGCAGTAAATATATATTAAACATAAAAATGTATATTAAACTAAAATACTACTTTACTGCTGAATGATAGTTTGTGTTTGGTAGCTTCTTTTGCAAAGTCAGGAAACAGCTCAGGCAGGTGTCTTGCAACATGTTTCTGGTAGAAGTTAACACCTATTTGACTGTTACTTGAATTCTCTTCAAGAAATTGTAGAAAGTCAGGTTTCCAAATTCAATATTATTTTAGAACTTTTTCTCATACAGTGAAGCAAATTTAAATGAGAAGTAATCAGTCATTAGCTCTAAAGACTTCGTCTGGCACCTGAAAAACACTGTCCCAGCAGAGAGCACTTAGTGGACCACCAAGTGAATTGGAAGCGGGGTGATAAATTCAGCAGCCCGTTTGCTCTCTGCTGCCCTTCCCTTTCCTTCCCCCACACTTGCTGCACATAAGATCAGTGCCAAAGATTTCCTCTGCTTAGGACCTATGGTGAGTGTCCATGATATGACAGAAGAGTGAAGATGTGTAGTTTTGATGTGTCTTGGTAAGTGCTGCAGCGTAAAGAAGGGGCATTGCCCCCTCTGTGGCAGGGCAAGGAAAGGCTGTGGAAATGTGTGGCATGTTGGCTTGGGGAGCTGAATTGAGAAATAATCATTCAATTTGGGACTTTTAGGTCATTTCAGGATGTATAGGTTTTTAGGGCAACACTTAGAAAAGGCCATAAAATGAAGAGTTGTATAATAACTTCATGTTTCCCAAAATATTTGTTGTAGCTGTGTTTTCAGCACTGTAAGAGTGAAGTTGGTGGACAGTCCGTCTTTGGAGCATCACATACTTGATTTTTAGTCCAAACAAATTTTACTTGTTAGTTCAAATGACTTTCCTCCGTGCCACATGGTCAAATTGTTTGATTTATAGTACTCGTATTTTGAAATGCAGCTAACTATTTCAGGGCAGCTTATTAGTGTTTTGCTTCACATGGGTTTGGATGCTTTTAAGACACTGTAAAACATTGTGTTTCAGTTTAACCACAGAGAAAATGGAGCAGCACATTTTCTGTAAGACTGACCTAGGCTACCAAATAGCACTGTTGCAGTATTTCCTGAATATTTATCTGCTTTCTGAACTCTGCGGTCAGTATGTAACACAATGAATATAGAAGCAGCACTTTTTCACTGCACATAAAGCACAACTTTAGGTCTACATTACAGTTTCTGACTTGTTTGAATTTTGAGGTGCAAGTTTCATATGGTGTCTTCATAAATGCACTTTGTCATGTTTGTCAGGGTTGCTATAGGTAAATTGAAAAGTTTATGCATTTTTATTTTCTTAGTATATTTGCTCATAAGAGATGAGGAAGGTGAGGACTTGTTTTTCAGATTTGAAAGTCATATAAAAGAAAGATAGATCTGAAAAGCAGGCTTTCATAGTGGGATCGAACAAAGGTATATCCAGGTTGTAAGCTCCGCAGTTTGCAGACCTGTGTGGTAGTAACTTAACTGACAAGTAATTCCATGGAATTTAGATTCCTTGAAACATGGACAAGGTAAGCCCGTATCTTCATAACTATCAATCTTATCAACATGAGAAAGAATACCAAATACTATTATGCCAAAGTTTTGCAGATGTTTGCTAAAACCTTGTGTCCTTTTAAGCATCAGCATTTGGAAAAACACAATACATTTCATTCTCCTATGTACTGTTATCAATACATTACTGCCTAACATATTGATAGTACGTTCATAACTGACTCCCTATTTCGTTACGGTCACCAAAGAAAGTTCTGAAAAGGGAACAAAATCACAGAAACTAGCAAAAAGTGTAACACTGTCAACTCACTGAAACTGCTTTCTATAACTTCTTTCAAAGCTTTTAAGTATTGGATTACTAGAAAATTTTTAACCCATGTGGTGTTGTAGTTATGGGTCCAACTGTTTCCAGTGATCCATTGTTGTTTTTATCTTTATACTCTTTTAGCCATTTAACATGGTTCTGATATGTTCAAGCAATTTTAAAACAAACAAAAAAAACCCTAAGTCATTTACTTATATCCATTAGTTTAACATAGTGCAGCCAGTATTGGGAGGGGGAAAAAAAATCTGATTTTACAGATGCTTAACAATGTGAATGTAAATGTGCTGTTTGCCATTTGCTCTGATGCCAAGTACTTGTTTCCCTCGCATCCCGCTCCACAAGCCCCGCTTGGTTCACATCCAGAGAGCGCATTTAAGGAGAGGTTGGGGGAGGGAAACCTGTCCATTGGTTCATACTGTCTTCTAACTAAGCTAGTGTGCGAGGTTGCAGCTGTATAAATTGCTTTTTCTGAAATCTTCCTACTGTTTGTTGTTTGTCCAAATGCTGCCTTCCTACTAGGACTTCTAGCAGCAGAAAGTAGGTATCCCTTTGTTTTCCTTTATGGCATATAATTCAGCTTTGCTTTGTGTCTTTGCATGTTTAAAATTCAGCTTTTTCCCCTCACTTAGCTATTTTCCGTTTTAATACTGCCTATTCAAGAAAATCATCCTGTCTGTTTTGGACTAAAGCTTTCCTTAACTTCCAAAGCATGGTTGAGCAAAAGTAGAATGATTTCCAGACAATTCTGAGCATTCTAGTTTAGAGGCAGTATTAAAATTATGTGCCTTTTTTGTTGCTTTCAGTAATACTTGCAACACAACTGATAGAAAATTATTTTTTGTTAAATTAATGCAGGATAAAATAGTTTGGGTATGCCTGTTGATTCCTGAATTAATATTTTTGTGGACTAATTTTTTTCTCTTGTATGCTAAAAGGTATCTTCTATACTTTTATATATCTTCTATACTATTATCTTAATCTTATCTTAACCTTACATATATCTTATATACTATTAGTCATGTATTATTTTCTTGCAGTACCTTTGCATGGACTTTCCTGATCATTCTATGTATTTATGTGATATTTGCATATTCATTGTGTATATGCATACAGTTCATTTGAAACTGCATACGGTTTAATTTGAATAACTGTCTCCTTAAAGAACAAGTATTACTGACATGTACAGAGGACATTGCGCTTTGAATTAGCTGCATTAGCCTTTGTGAGAGAGTCAAAGTTCAAGCACTTATACCTGAATCCTGTATTAGGCAGAAGTAACTTTATGCAGAAAGGAGTGTGAAATGTTAAATTTCTAGAAATTCTACAATTAGATATAAACAACAATTCCAAAAACCACAATTCAGCCTCTCAAAATGCAAGCCATAAAAAGTGAGGCGCAATTTCATTATAGGTCACCATAAACCTGGTTCTATTCTGTTCTTAGACTTTACCTGAATTTATATATATAAAGTCACTTTAAATTATATATATATATATATGCATATATATATAGTGTGCATGTGTGTGCGCATACACACACACACACACACATATTTTATTCTCTCAACTGCTTTCCCATAGTATTCCTAGATCTGTGTCCTTGGAAGGCTGTAATTGCAACTCTACAAAATATGTAAATTTGACTGTTCGGGACCTTGACTGAATTTGGCTTCCTTGACCAGGAAGGAGGAGTTTGGGAAACACTGTAGAGCTCAAATTAGGATAGGAGAGGTGCCACTGTTATGACTCTATGTGAAACATGCATCCTTGACCTTTTTTAAACTGTTCAAGGTATATATCGACATGCGCTTGAGCTCTTTTCCATGCTTGCAAAGATATCTGCAGTGGAGTGTAGTGAGCAGCAGTGAGCAACAAATTATCCTGCGGGTTTGGAGGCATCCCAGCTCCAGGGATTCATGCAGATGTGGTTTGTACTAATGAAGACTGCCTGGTCCTCAGCTGGTGTTCTCTTAAAGTACAAAGTTACACTGGCACAAGTAGGGGATAGGTGTCTTGTCTCTGTAAAAGATCCTTTTCTTTTGTTTCGTCAAAACAGCATATATTTCATATTTCCTTTGCAGGGCCAACAAGCATTCTTTCTTACTAATTATTAATTCCTATCCCCGGCTACCAAAGCAAATCTGGGCTAGTATGTAATGTGGGAACTTCACAGTTTTGTTATTATTGAGTCTAAAAACACTGCTTGACTAAAGTAGGCAGTTTTAATGTATATACAAGTGTAATTTAAAAACATCAGCAGAGATTCCATCATTTCCATGGCAATTTTACCAACTTAAACATTTATGTCTTGTTTTTTTGAGTTTTTTTTAGTATAATCAAATGTCAGCCAAACAAAACCACTGAGGCACTGATTTTTACAGTTATCACTACATAGGTAATTTAAAGATGAAAGTAGTGTTTTGGTGTTTTCTTTGCAGAAGCAAAGATTCTTTGATTATTTGTAATATGTGGGGAAAAAAAATCCAATGCAAATCTTTCAAGTCTTACCCTGGGAAAAACGAAGTTACGGTCCTGTCATCAGGTGTGCTCCCTCAATGTTGCAGAATACCTACATAATCATATTTCTCCAAAGATCTGTACTTTATAATAATGCTCAAAGATTACGTACATGTTTTTTTCATGTGACTGTGAGTATTCAGCAATTCTCTAATGCTTTAACCTTTCTAAAGGATAGTTCTAAAACCTAACAATTTCTAACTATTTGAAAGTGAACTCTAAATGCTGCTTTCTGAAATGCCCATGCTTTGAAGGCTGGGATTGTTTTTTACTTTCAGTGTATATATTCTTCATCTCTGTCATCAGTTTGAGGTTTTGTGGGTGGTTCATACAGAACTGCAACTTTAACAATACAGCTACTAGAACTATTTAGTTCAGGGACTTCAGGTGTGATTTTTTTCATGTATTTAGCACACATTTTATATATATATATATATGCTTAAGCAGAAATACATTTTTTGCAGCATCATCATATTATTCACACACAACTACAGTTATATTCTTTTGTCAATGCTGTAATACGTCAGTACAACATCAGTGCCAGGCTATAATCTTTCCATTCTGTTTTTATCAAAGCCATAAACATGAATGACTCAATTCAAAATATAATAATAATCATACTGGTTTGTTTTAAGTGGTGTACCTGGACTAGGTAGTTAAGGAGCTGTATTTTCTTTCCTATCACCTTTAAAATATGTATATGCTTTCTAGCTAATAGCGTTTGGTGTGTATTCTTTGCTGCCTATCTTAATCTACTTGGAAGTCTTCGAATGCCATGGATTTCAGTGGAATCCATTCCGCTTGAAATCTACGTGGAAGTCAGTGAAACATTAACAGAGCCCTACGTTGTTCATATTTAAGATATACATAGTTCAAAATATGAAGTAAAGTATTAATTTTTCTGTTGGTTAGTATTTACTTTTTCCACACACGATGCTCAGAAGTTTTGCTTTTGAAATCAGTATCCATGATGTACATTTTGAGTCTGTGACAATAAGATGAACATCCCTTGGACTGCATACACTGAAGAAAACTACATATGTATTAGATCAGTTAGGGTTTTTGAATAGTAGGTGATGTGGCTGTACCATTATATCCACAGAATTTCAGATACATTCCTCAAATCTCTTCTCATGCTTATGAAAATAAGGTGTAATCTGAAAAATTAGCCTGCCAATTCCACATTCTTTATGGAAACCTTCAGAAGGCTTTTGTCACAGGGCACCAAATCACTGCAAACATCTGAGTCAAATAGTCTGGTCAGGCAGGGCTTTATGCCCTACTCATCAGATAGAACCCATCACCCGAAGATGTTTCTCAGTGTGCTAGGTTCAGTACATCCTGCTGCTCCTGAGTTCAGCTGACTTGGTCACAGAGATAAAGTCTCAGGTGCAAAGCAGATTTCAGCATGTTCCTCAGCTTTGTAAGAACATGCAAGTCATGGGATTTCAGTGGAAGCTTCTTATCTTTGAATATTAAAGACTTTTTTTTCTTTTTAAGAGAATAAGTAAGCAGCTCCTTCCCAGTTGTAGAAATCAGCTGCTCAAGGCAAATCATCTGTACCAAATAAGAAGAATAACTGAATGCCAGAACAAAAGCACTTTATAGCACCATCCTAAGGCTTGTGCTACTTACAAGTTGATGAAGCAGTGGCTGTGATGCTTGATGACCTCAGATCATTTCAAGGGCTTCCTATGAGAACTGCAAGGACTTTAGAGACAGAATTCAGTCATAACAGAGGACTCATCTTAAACAGCCTTCTCTGTGAATTAGATAACAGATTCTGTAGGACATAACAATGATAACTTTTGCAGCGCATTTGGGTGAAGAAATAATACCAGGTTACTGCCTAACAAAGAAAATAAGTCTAATTTACAGAGATCTTCTGCCTCAGTAAGCAGAAAGGTACTCACTTCACCCCACATGTTAAAAGCAATCACATTTAAGAAGTAATTCTATTAACTGTAAAAGCATTTCACATACTAGTAGTGACTGCAGACAACTATCATAAGCCTGACTACCTTGGAAAACACTGTAAGCTCCTTATGCAGGCAACTTTTACAATCAAAAAGGTGATAGGTTTCTGATACACATCTTTATATGGCAGCTTTATGGCAGCTTTTCTCTCATGTTAGAGAAATTAAGATCTTCCTAATGCCGATAGTTAAGAAGTGACATTTCAGCAGCTTAGTCCCTTGGATATGCCTGTTTTTGTGGTGATATTTTTATTCTTCAAGATGCCCAGACATAATATCCCAGAAGCATAAGATACTGGTTCCAGGCTTGCAGTGATTGAATGTGATTGACTAACCATTGACCTCTGAGAATTGTTTTTTGCTACCAGATGGTTCCAGAAAAATAACTGAGTAGAAGGCTTATGTTTAGAAGCAGAAGTTATCTCCAATCAGACCAGACTGGTATTTTCTGGTCAAATTTTTCAATTGAAGATGATTCAGTATCAATTCCTGAAGCTGCAGCCAAAGCAGGTGGAATTGGTATTTGTTCCATCTCGTAACTGTAACAACATTTTTCACTCCAATACAGCCATATTTAGTGAGATGTAATCAGGTACTCGTGAAATTTTTAAGGCCACACTGAACTTAAATTTGAATTTAAAGCTACACTCAACTGACCATCTCCTGTGTAGGGTCCAAAGTGTCCTCCTGAAGGTTTAGAGTCTCTCCTTGAGCAGCTCTTGAACAAATTACTTCAAATAGGCTTTTTATGAGCAACCAGTGCTCCAAGCCTTTGAGACACGGTTTCACTACCTATGATTTCTCTGTATGAGATATTTCTAAGACTGCATGTCTGAGTTTCAACTCAGTCAGTTGATTTCTTCTGTAAAGTAGGTTCTATGCTGAAAGAGAGGAAGGTGTGTTTGAGCACTGATGCCTTTATTACACTCCAATCCTTCAGACTCTTTAGATACCACGAGCCTATTTCTGTCCCAATGAAAGGCCAAATTACATCATTATGTACATAATGCACTGGTATATATTATTAATTAAAGGGTAGGCTCTTTAAATGAAAGGATAATTTTCTCATCTGCATCCAGCTGTAGACATGTAATAACATCTGGGAGATGTAATGTAGACCAAACCACAAAATTGTCACATTGTGCTGATGCTGTGGTGGCACATGGAAAGAAAATAAAAATAAATTAAAAGTCTCTTCCTTAAGAAGGAATACGGTTTACTGATCTCCTGTGTAGGAATTCACACTGGCATGCATCCAAAGGCTGAGTGATAAAAAAAGAAACAGTTTATTTTATTTTACATAATCTTCCATCTGCAGTTGAAGCTCTTCTGAAAGGCTTTTTGGCTGAATTGGATCTTCTCTCCCTCTTCAAAACCCTGAGTAAACAAACTCAGCAAAATCATTTTCTTCTGCACTTTCGAGGGCTAGCTGCAGCCGTGTCCTGATCAGCAGGTTCGCAGGCTCCTTATTCCCTCCGGTTTTGTGCTCTGCCTCGTGGGCTGCCAGAGGAGGAGCAGGCAGAGGAGGGGAGCAGTTTCCCTCCAGCTAGAGCTTGGTTGTTCACTGGCACACGTGAAGCAGGTTTTTCCCTTTTTCTGAGCATCTGATCTTACAAGCACCAGCAGAAAGCAAACAATTAGTCTTGTTAGTGTCCAGCCACCATGTTTTCAAAAGAACATGACTTACTAATCAGCCATATCGGTATTAATGTAATTTATTTGCTCCAGTAGTCAGCTGTGTCTCACAGCCGAGATCAAAGGAGTCATCTTATGGCTCATGAAGTCAGTGAAATAACGCGGCTGTTATCCTTCACATATGTGCAGGAGAGTCTCTGGTTGAGAGCTGTGCTAAATGCATTGCAAGATTTTCTAGATTTGTAATATACTCCTAAGCCCTGAGGTCACAATTCTTACCCAGTGCTTTTTGTGTGCTCTGTCATGTTTATTCCAGTTTTTCAAGGTTTGCAGAGAAGTTACTGATTTAGCTTGTCTCATTGTGGTTGGAGAGGTTGGGGGTTGTTTGTCTTTATTCAATTCTTCAAATACAGTGAATTGCAAAAGGCTTGGAGAGAAGGAAGGCTGGTAAGAGGTGCTCAGGCTGGTAAGAGGTGCTCATACAATAGAGTCTAGAGTTTCAAGATATACAGCAATCTTCAGAACCTCATATATGAGCTGACTATCTTCATAGCAGGACGCTGCCAAAATAAACAACATATATACGAAGGAGAAGTTACTATAATACAGGATGTATAGAATTCTCTATGCAGAATAAAGAATTTATTTGTGAAAGTGCATTCAACGTTGTACTGTTGGGCAGTGGCATCTTTGCAGACTGATACAGGATAGGGTAGTGATCCTTCCAAATGCTTATGGCAGGGTGATGGAGGAACTGTGGTCTGCAGATGTTCAGATAAGTCATTGAGAACATTCTAGTAATACACACAAGTGTCAGTTGCCAGTGATAATTACCTTTGAAAATACGTTGTTCCACAAGGAAATAACATGGGCTCATCCACCCTGAATTTGTTTTGTGTTTCTTTACCCTCCTATGCCGTGAGTTCATCTCTCCTCGTGGAGTTCACGGTCCACAGTACCTCCTGTTTCTCCCTTTTGTCTCCATATCCTTCACGTCTTCCTTTCACCCTGTTCCCATATAAAAATAACCCCCTTTTTCCTGCAACCCAAAACAATCCACTGGGCCAACGGTAACCAAGGCTTATAACTGCTCTGAGATAACCAGGCAAACAGGTCAAACAGGACAAATAATGGAGCTCGTGTTGCAGCACTCTCTTTCTCTTGAGCTGATGCAGCAGTCCAGGTCTTTCCCCCCTTTACCTAGATGCTGAGTTTCAAAAGAATTTGTGAGAACATCACTCTTTTCAATGACTTTTGCCTTTCTGGTAGATGTGTGTGAAATTGGCCAACAGTTCAAAGTTGAGGAAAAGGGAGGTAGGGGAGAGAATGGTGGGGACAAATCGACAAATAAACTAAGTGACTTCATTAGATGGCCTTAGGAAAACAGGCTAAAATAGAACTAAGAAAAGCATAATACAAACATGTTTTAATCTTGTTTAAGCTAATCTGTTTTTTTTTCACAAGAAATCACAATATATATGGGCACTGTTCAAATGGGTAATGTTTATTCAGTGAAATTTCCTGTGAAACATTTGTTTTTTTAAAAAAGTTCCTGTTTCTATTATACTGGAAGAAGTATCAAGTGAAAGTTGCCTTTTCCAAAGTTCAGTTTACCATGAGTCTTTGCTCTATTGATTTTTTTTTCTTCTGTTTATTGCCCCATAGGAGCAGTTTCACAGGTGCTAGACAGCCTGGAGGAAATTCATGCACTTACAGATTGCAGTGAAAAAGACTTAGATTTTCTTCACAGTGTTTTCCAGGATCAGCATCTCCACACGCTACTAGATGTAAGTTTCCTGTGATAAACAGTTTGGGAAAGTTTCCATATCTCTTGTTCATTATTTTGTTTTATTTTGCATATCTTACATTATCTTGCTTCTTACTAAAATGAATTTACTTCAGTATGGAAAGCTGAAATTAACTATTTAGTATACTAAAATTAACTTTAGTATATTTCATTTACAAACTATTTTAGAAAGTAAATAATGTTATTTTAATCATATGTAAGCAGCTAATGGCTTGGTGGCTTGTTTTGAATGAATAGCTGTGTTTTAAAACAATTTGCTACTAGAACAGACTTCTTTCAAGAAAGGCTGTATTTTATTTTTTCATTTAAAATCTGAATTGTAATTTCAGTGTACAGGGTTTTTTTTTTTTTATTAATGTAATCCTAAACAAAATCTCTGTATATTCTTATCGTAAGAACCACTTTTTTTCCTGTGTTAAACAACTAAATGTACTGATTTGTGTCCTGTGCTTGGACACAGTAGGTGGTAGGCTGACTCATTTAGATCATTATTAACATATAGTTCCTGAGAATCATTAATCTGTAAGACAGCAGCATGTGCTATGCATTCTCATAGACACCAGGATCTAGCCTCTCATTTCCTCCTTGTCTATCCATAAGCACAATTCACTGTTCTGCTGCCAAGGTATCAGTGGAACACAGCTGCTCCTGGTGTGGGGCAGCAGCTATAACTGGTGTCAGGTGGTTTTGAATTTTTTTTTCTTCCAGAAAGCTGAAGTGATCTGTTTTGCAAGAATCATTTTGAAAAACAAGTAGTGTGGTGTTCTGAGTGAAGAATGCTTTTGTGCTACTTATCTTCCCGTGCTTCAAGGATTTTCTGCTTTCCAAGTTCCTGCTCTCCTGTCTCTTGCAGAGATTATGTTTATAATTTTCAATAGTTGTTTAATCAAACAGTTGCTTAAGCACTGCAAGCTCGCGCTCCATCCTTCACATTTAGTTGAAGAACCCTCTTCTAAGGACCAATTCAAAAGCAGAGCATGTTTTAGTTGACTACCGTGTCTGCATAGCACAGGAGTTTAAAATAAAGGTCAAAAAGAAACAGAAGAGTGTTCTAGCTTTGACTCTGCCATATGTGGATTATTTCATGTTGAAGACTAAGTGTTTCTTTTCAGCAAGACAAACTTTTGTCTCAAACAGTCTACACATTCAGTAAGAAAATTGCTAAGAAAGAAAGAATCAGGTGGCAGAGCTAAACTCTTAAAGACAGAGACTGTGTCTGCGTTAGCAAGCTGTGCAACACAGCAGTAGTAGATGTGCAGAGCAAGGGAGGCAACATGGAGGACTTCTGCACTTTGCTGGGGTTTCAAAGGTTTTACTTTACACAACTTGTGCTCTAGTCCTATGGATTGACTAACCACTGGTGGCTGAAACACATTTTCTCATTTATTGTCATTCAAAATTAAATATGCTCTGGGAACACTCTGCTGTGAAAACCGAAGGATGGTAGGTGAGGATAATCAGAAGATTCATGTCAAAAAAGCACTCAGGAACCAAACCAAAATGCTCATGTGACCATGATAATGAATGTGATTCACCATCATGCGACCATTGATAATGAATGATTTGATACTCTATCTTAAATATAAGAGCTTGAATTCTTCAGTGAATATTACAGTTCTAAAAAGATGTCTAAGCTTTTTACACATTGAAAGTCCAGAAATACAATTCATTCCAGCTATTGTACTCATTAGATAGATGGTTATTGCAGTGGAGTTTCTGAACAGTTCAAGAAAAATTCTTGGTTCTTTTAATCTTCTTTGCACTCTTGCATTGGTAGAATTCAGATATAAATAGTGCCTTCTTTCTTCGAATGTCCAAACTCTTTATTTAAAACACAATAGAAATTGCTTATACGCTTTTTACAAACTTCTTACATGTTCTTCTTACATGTGCTTACTTACATATTCTTACTTACATGTGCATGTTCTTACTTCTTACAAACATGTATAAGTTCAGGAAGGGAGAATGCAGGGAGGAAGGGGACAAGCTGTTCTCACTGGTGGCCAGCAATAGGACGAGGGGTAATGGCCACAAGCTGAAACACAAGAAGTTCCATCTCCATGTGAGGAGGAACTTCACTGTGAAGGTGCCAGAGCACAGGCTGCCCAGGGAGGCTGTGGAGTCTCCTTCTCTAGAGATCTTCCAAACCCGCCTGGATGCCGCCCTGTGCCACATGCTGTAGGTGTGCCTGCTAGAGCAGGAAGGTTGGACTGGGTGATCTCTAGAGGTCCCTTCCAACCTTGAATATTCTGTGATTCTTAGTAAATAGTGGGTCACCTGGATTTTGTGCATCCTCCAACTTCAAATGATTCAAATCCACATGTTCTTCCTTTCAGAAGAGCTTCCAAATCACAAGGCTTGAACCAGCCTGTTTGTGAATATAAGCCTCTGGGTACAGCTTTCCCACGACCTAAGTGATCACACAGGAGTCCAGGAGTCAGCGATAGTGAGCTAGGTGTTAAACAAGGAGGACATTCCCTGGCATGGGCAGCTCTACACGCTGCTGATCTGTGTTCCCAATAACCGTCCGTGCGTTTTCTATTAAACGAGCCTTGGATTACAATCATGGGGCACTTAGGAAGACCTTCCTGATGACTTTCCTGAGCGACATTTCCACCAGCTCATTTAAAAGTACCTTTCTACTCGTGTTAAAATATATATAGCCCATTTATCCAACGTTAGCTTAGATTTAGCTTCTTTTACAGACACTTAAATGGGTCAGTATAGAAATCTTTCTATACTGTATACTGCAGTGTAGAAAGGTGATCAGATAAGATGAGCAAGATATAAAAGTCTGGACAGAAAAAGAGTAATGTAAGTGTAATATAAAAACCTGAAGACCTGTATCACTTACGGAGAAATGTTTCAGATACTTATTAATCATTATCTGGTCATCCTAAAAATTCATTGATAAAGAATTTTTTGATAAACCAGATGGCCTTAGCTTAAATATTTCACTGGATGATATGCCTTCTTATGTCTTCTGGATATGAAAGCATGCTTTGCAATATTTTCACTTTTTTACTCTGTACTTTTTCAGTACTAGTCTGTCCACAGTATTTCAGTAATGATAGAACATTGTGTAATGGTCTGCTGTAGACTTTTAAACAAGGAAAAGCTGCAAAGAATTCATATAATATTACCATGCTTTTAAAAAGCCATGGTCATTCTCTGAGAGAGACAAAGAGATTCATTTAGATGCACTATAGCAATATATTTGTGGAAACAAAACAATATGAAAAAACCAATTTTGTTTTATTGTGCTATGTTGAAGAGAGGAATGACAGAATCTTCCCAAATATATTCAATAATTACAATAATAAAAAATAAGATTTTAAAGATTCCAGTGTTACAAAACATGTATTTGAAAGAAGTGGAGGAAGTTTTTGGCAGCATTATTCAAAAGAGCAAGTTTTTCAATCTATGCCTTTTATCAAGCTTTGCCTTTTTTCTTTTCTATCAGAACTCTGAAAAATCATCTCTTGTGCTTGAATGAATTCTGCCAGGGAAACTGTTTATTCTTCTCACAATATTGGGGGTTAATGAGGCCACCAGAACAAGTTACCTGTGAAGCACTCTTATTTCAATAAGTAAGAATTTCATAAGTAAGAATTTCATAATCTGTCATGGAAGTTGTGGCTGACAGATTGCATTAAAAAGTGCTGTTCCTTTTTCTTGGCCTTTTTCCACGGTTAAATTTGTTCTCATGTTCCTACTCTTTCTCAAGAGTCATTCTTATTTTTAGATTAGGCACATGATATATGATGCCTCCTGCTTAAATACCTTCTTTTGCTTCTGAACTGAAAAGCAAAAAAGGGAGAACGGCCTTTAATGCAAAGACTGCAAGTTCCCTACTTGCCTTTATGCAAAGACTGCATGCAGCCTTTATGCAAAGACTGCAAGTTACCTACTTATGGACTTGTTTTTCCACAAACTAGAAGATTCTTCCTTTCTAATGAGGAAATATATTAACTAAGTAATGTGTTAAGTAAGACATTGTGGCTTTCTATAGTCCCTCAGGGCTATAGAAAGTAAAGTTCCTATCATTCTGTTGATTGTTTTAATTAATTCATTTCCCTACATCTATTTACATAACTACCTTAAGATTCTCTTCCACCTTCCTTAGGTGCCAAAGCAGTTCAAAAGAACACTTCTCAAAATGTTGATGCTTATTATGATTTAATACTGTAATCCTTACAGGTGAAATACATTTACCGTAATATTTATCTTTTGCTTCAAGTAGTATATTTATTTTCTCTTAGGTGACCAGTATCCAATCATATTTTTTCCTTGATATTCTTTCACTACAATCATTATTTTAAGTTAAAAATACAGCTTCATTTTGTATGGTTGAGTTTTAAAGAAAATATTTTTAATTTTCTATGAATAGCAAGATTATGTTGACAAGGAATGATTTGTTTAATACTCATTTGTTTATATTTTGCTGTTGAGTAAAATTTTTAATACACTGTTTTTAATAAGAATTAGGAATTAATTTTTTTTGTACAGGAAAAGGATGTCAACTTGCCGGGTAATTTATGTTCACTCTGGATCCAAATCAGCATATCCCCATGTGGGTTTTATTGCACAGTTTCACTGTATGATTTTTAATAATTTTGCAGAATCTCTTTTTTTTATATTGAGTGGTTTTTACTTTACAGAATTTAAATGCTTCATTATTGAAAATTCAGTTGCCTTTACCAAAGAAAAGGGCCATCTTAAGAACATTTAGAAATAATCAATACCTAAAAGCAATACATTGTTTGATAGTTCATATTTCATATAAAGAAAAAAAAAGTATATTTGGATTGGGCAACAGCCAATTTTGTCAATGTTTCAGAAATGTTGACAAGACAAACATGTCACATTTCAGAAATGCAATCAAAATTTGGTGAATCCTGCAGGAAATTCCTTTATGTGTCTCTCCTATTCCTGGGTTTGTTCCCATATATAGATTGTTTCATTTTGGTGTCCAATTTA